GTGTTAACTACTTGTAGCTTAGTGTTAATTAGGTTATAAGGGACCTAGGATCTTGATAAGGCTTGAAGTTGCCTTTGTTGATCCAAGGATAATATCTTCTTTGAGGAGAGTTACTGCGGGGAGAAAACTGGCTTCTGCGGCAGATCGCACCTGGGCACCAACTGGCAGCCAAGTGAATCCTGAATTGTAAAAGGAGGAATATAGTTATAGTTTAGTTTTAGGACTTTTTATAATTTGTATCTATATATCATTTTGATATTTCTCCAAATAAATGATGGGTAAGATCACTCAAGATAAAAAAAAAAAAAAAAAAAAAAAAGTTGTAGCAGAAAAGAGTAGAGGTTACTCATTCTGTATATACTTTTATTGATCTTAATTCAAATGAAAAATATGTTAATTCTGATAACAATTCAGATAAGAGTTCAGATAACAATTTCATAAAGCTAGATTGCTTTGATGAAGTAGATTTGATTATTGAACAACTTCATGTAGCTAAAAAAACAAAGTATCTTGCTGTTCATATTGGGAATTTCAAATGTACGTAACAAAGAAAGAACAAGACATTCAGAAAAGTAGCTATAAAAAGTTTGAAAATTATTCATTTTTTTTCAATATTTAATTACTAGCAATAGATAATGATGAGGATTATAGGAACTTTCAAGACCAGAATAAACAGATAGTAGAGCTATTTTTTTAAAAAAAAATTGAATTAATAATGTTAGTAAATAATAGAGTAAAAAAGAATTAGGAGAAGTAGATATAGGAAAAGTAGGAGAAGGAAAAGTAGGAGAAGAATCAGACAAAGAATTGAATAAAAAAAAAAATTAGTAGTGCAATTGAATTTGTAAATCAAGTAATGAATGATAAAATACTTTTAAAGACTAAGAAAGCCTATTATTTAGTAGTTCTTTATTTTCTTAGATTGTATTTACAAGATTAAATAAAAATAGAAGCATCAAAATAAGTTATAGACATTGTCAATAGTAGTCCATAACTTGCACAAAGTATTAGAAATTAAGTAAATACTTGTATAAAAAAGGAGTTAATTCAGCCAAATCTTTGAGAAAGATCACTTTCAAAAAGCCTGCTTCATGATGAGTTGATTTCTCTTCAGTTAGCCTCTTATCTATACTCTTAAAAATTTAATGTAGATCTTATTATAGTCAAAACTTATTTTAAACAACAAAACTTTCTCTAGTTAAATGTTGAATCTATGTAATACAATTCAGTTAGAACTTATGTCAGTAGATATATAAGCTTAGTTTTCATTATCAACATTATCAGAAAGATATATATATAGACAAGTATAAGTATCTTGATATTGTCAAATATTATGAAATATTTTTCTAGAAGGTTGTCTAGTTTGAACTATTTATATTCAAATAGGTTAACTTAGACTATAAAATAAGAATCTTTCCTGATTTAAATTGTAGTGAAAAGGAGTATGTGTTGGTAATACATGATGAAACTACTTTTTTTTTTTTTTTTTTTTTTTTTTTTAAAAAAAACCACAATTAAGCGTACTTTATTAAGTTTAAACTAAGTTAATATTACATAATTAAGAGTAAGAAAAGTTTATAAATTTTGTAAGCTTTTTT